CCCTTAATCCTATCCCACCCCCCATTTATTCTATTCTTTCTTTTGACCTTGACCCTCCTCAGAAGTACTTGCTTCTGATTACCCCCTTTCACAGTCTGCCCTCCTCTCTATCATCCCCCTACTCCCTTGTCCCCTTCAACCCCACATTTTCCTGTAGGGTAAGACAGATTTCCATACCCAATTAAATGTGTATGTTATTCCCTCCTTAAGTCAAATCCTATGAGAATAAGATTCACTCATTCCCTCTCACCTTCCCCCATTTCCCCTCCACTGCAAGAGCCTTTTCTTTTTTGTTTTTTTTTGTGAGATAATTTACTCCATTCTACCTCACCCTTTCTCCTTCTCCTAGTATAATCCTCTCTCACCCCTTAATTTTATTCTCCAGATATCACCCCTTCATTTTCAACTCACCCTGTGCCCTCTATCTATCTACCTATATCTATATATACATACATATAATTTTTTCCCCTCCAACTACTCTAATATTGACAAAGGTCTCATGAGTTACAAATATCATCTTTCCATGTAGGAATGGAAACAGTTCAACCATAATAAGTCTTTTATGATTTTCTCTTTCCTGTTTACCTCTTCATGTTCCACTTGAGTCTTGTATTGGAAAATCAAATTTTCTATTCAATTCTGGTCTTTTTATCAAGAATGCTTGAAAGTCCTCTATTTCACTGAATAATCATTTTTTCCCCTGCAGGATTATGCTCAGTTTTGCTGGGTAGGTGATTCTTGGTTGTAATCCTATCTCCTTTGCCCTCCAGAATATTGTATTCCATGCCCTGTGGTCCCTTAATGTAGAAGCAGCTAAATCTTGTGTTATCCTGATTGTGTTTCCACAATACTTGACTTGTTTCTTTCTGGCTGCTTGTAATATTTTCTCCTTGACCTGGGAACTCTGGAATTTGGCTATAATATTCCTAGGAGTTTTCCTTTGGGGATGTCTTTCAAGAAGAGATCAGTAGATTCTTTCAATTTCTATTTTACCCTCTGGTTCTAAAATATCAAGACAGTTTTCCTTGATAATTTCTTGAAAGATGATGTGTAGGCTCTTTTTTTGATCATGTCTTTCAGATAGTCCAATAATTTTTAAATTCTCTCTCCTGGATCTATTTTCCAGATCAGTTGTTTTTCCAATGAGATATTTCACATTGTTTTGTAATTTTTCATTCTTTTGTATTTGTTTTACAGTGTCTTGATTTCTCATAAGGTCACTAGCTTCTAATTGCTCTATTCTAATTTTTATGGAAGTATTTTCTTCAGTAAGCTTTTGGACTTCCTTTTCCATTTGGCCAATTTTGCTTTTTAGGGCATTCTTCTCCTCATTGGCTTTTTAGACCTTTTTTGCCATTTGGATTAGGCTATTTTTTAAGGTGTTATTTTCTTCAGTATTTTTGGGGGTCTCCTTTAGCAAGCTGTTGACTTGTTTTTCACGATTTTCTTGCATCACTCTGTTTTTCCTCTACTTCTCTTACTTTCTTATCAAAATCCCTTTTGTGCTCTTCCAAGGCCTTGGACTGATTCATATTTTTCTTGGAGACTTTGGATGTAGGAGCTTTGGCTTTGTTTTCTTCTTCTGGTTGTATGTTTTGATCTTTTTTGTCACCAAAGTAAGATAAGATAGTCTGACTCTTTTTGCGCTGCTTACTCATGATCCCCACCAATTACTTGAGTTTTAAACTCTTTGTTAAGGTAAAAGTCTGCTTCCAATGTGAAGAATGTACTGTCCCAAGTTTTGGGGGTTTGTACAGCTGTTTTCAGAGATACTTCTAGGGACCTGTAACTTTTCAGTTCTTCCAAAGTAGTATGATAAGGGGCGATGGTGTTTCCTCTCCACAGCCACAACAAGGTTCACCACACCAGCATTCCTCCTAGCCCCAGGACCACGCCCCAGAACTGTGACCCTGATCCAAGTACCACTAAAGCAAGAAATTCCTGCCTCAGCACTGACAATGGGATCCCTGCAATCCCCCTCTGATCAGCCACTCAATTCCCCCTCAGTCTGTGGACTGGAAGCTCAGAAAATAGCCATGGCCCCAGAGGCTGTGCTTGGGATTTGTGACTGAGACCTAGTTCCTTCTCTCACCACAGTCACAGTCTTTTTCCACTGAGATTCTAAGTTGTCTTTGCCGTTCCTGTGTTGAGAAGTCTGGAAACTGCCACAGCTGCCCGTGATTCCATCCTTTAAGGCCTGCTCCAGGCTCACTGTGGCCTGCGCACCCACGCTGAAGCCTAACCGTGCTCCTCTCCCTGCCCAGTGCAATATGCCTTTCCAATCAACCATCCAGGCTGTCTTTAGCTTGAAATTTGTTTCACTCTGTCTTTTTGTGGGTTCTGCTGCTTTAGAATTTGTTTAGAGCTATTTTTTATAGGTATTTGGAAGGGTTTGGCAGGAGTGCTCAAACAAGTCACTGCTTTCCCTTGTCCATTTTGGCTCTACCCACCAGGACCTCACCTTCTAATGGAGGAGAAACAAATACAGGAGGTTTCAGCTTCAAGTAAGACAGAAAGGCCTTTTGGCCCTTATAGTACACTATCAGATGGTAGCAGTTCTTTAATGTCACTACCATTGGTGAAAATCTATCTGTTTCCAAAGGTGAACCATTTGACAAAGAGGTGATGAGCAGATGAACTAGGCTGGTGGCCATAGGAGGGAAGATCAGGGGATCAATTTTAAAACATATTTTATGGAAGCAAAATAAACACACTTGGTCACTGATTGGTTGGGAGGGTTGATAAAGGGAGAAATAAGTGTCAGGGATGATTTGGAAGTTGAAAACCCAGATGAGTGGGAGGATGGCAGTGACTCTGGGAAGTAATGAGTTTTGTTTTAGGCATGTTAAATTTAGAACCAAAATAACATCAGAATATTTATCCCTGTCCCGAATCAACTCCAGAAACCTCATTCTGTCTGTGATGGAAGTACCAAAGGAGAGTTTGGAAGAAGGCTAATTTGATCAATTTACTCAAGTATCTAACTTCTTCTTTGATTAAATTATCTGATATTCCTCAGCATCTTCTTTAGTTGTAGCTTTCCCCATATAAACAATGTGAATGGAATTAAGATTTTCATATTAATCTATTTGATATATGTAATGAATATGATAATAATTAGGTTTCTCAGAGCTGCCTCTTCTGACTTGAGAGTCAGAGTCTTACAATGAAGCTTGAAATGATCAATCAAACTCTTGACTACACTCATACTACCTTCCTTTGCCTGTATACATTAAGTGAAATGAATCAAAGGTTGTAGAATCTGTTCCTGTCACACAACTCTAGTACTGCACCCCACCAAATAATCTCCACTAAAGATATGAAACAATACTTTTCCCATAGGACTCCAGAACACCTGTATTGTCCTGTACTTGTGGGCTTACTGTGGGAAACCACACAGGGCTCTAGAAATAATTGTAATCCACTTTCTCCCCCTTCCCCACTTGTGATTTATGTATATAAATTGTGCCTTCACTCCAGCATGTAGAACATTCCTCACTCTGAAAGTAATTAATTAAATCCCTACTTGTTTCCTGGCACTCCTGTCTCTGGCCTGCTTTGTGCAGCTCCAGATATTTACAGGTTAGAAACTGGTCTTGTCCAGACTACATTTAAAATTCTGTTAACAAGAGTCAACTCAGTCAGCTCTGCTTTTACTAAGGTCTCTAATTGCCCTGTGTGTCTTCTGTATTTCCTTCCTTTAACATTGACCTTATGAGCATCAAAATATCCCTGAAAGTCTGCAAGTGCTGGTGAAAAAACAACAGTGTATTCCAGGTCAATGTGATTGTTGCTTCACTTAAGTTGACTTTCAAGATGAGGGCCCTTCTGGACACTGCTATGTCAGGGAAGATGAAATTCCTTTCTCCCTGATGAAATTATGTTTTAACTGGGGAGCTACAACCTAAGAGGGTCACTAGCCATTAGTTTCTTAGTTTGTTAATCATCAAAAAATCTTCCCAATGTTGGGTCAACAAATTGTGGAGAGTAGTGCATCACTCCAAAGGTCCAAGAAATGTCACCTTATCCTTGGGTTCCTTGTAAGTTTTTTTGTTTTTTTTTGTTTTTGTTTTTCAGTGAAGCTCAGGGCACATGCTCCCTAGGATGGAAATGACTTTTGTTACTAGCTATAGCATCTAAAATAGTTCCTGATACACAGTAGGGTCAAATAAATGTTCACTGTTAGTTAAAGAAAAATAGAGAAAAATAGATAAAATAGAAAAATAAAAAGTTAAAGAAAAGAAAAAAATCAAATGGAGGAACAGGAAGAATAAGAGGAATAGTAATAAGAAGCAGAAGAAAAAAAGAGGGGAATGAAGGCAGAAAGCTGAGCATCCATGTTCCATAGTGATTATAAGACTGAGAGCCCTGTCTCTGTAGTTAGAGCATTTGGGGGGATAGGATAGAAAGATAATACAGGGAAAGAATGAATAAGATAATACATTATAGGCAAGGAGTGATCCATGTGCCTTTAAGGTACTTAAGTTAGGTTATAAGCAGATAGGACTCTGCATCTTTTGACTAACCTAAGTTACAATGTGTAATAAAGAATCTTTGATATGTCTTTGAAAGTCTCAACTGGCACATTATCCTGTGCCCTCAAAAAGGATGTAGTATACATCCTAATTAGAACTCATATATGGACTAAATCTTATTTCAAATGTGGACTTATTTATTTGTGTGGAGAAGACTAAAACCCTGGCATAGGTGCAAAGAATAACAAGGTGAATTTAATACAACCCCAAGTAAACTACACCTAAGGAAAACTGATTCTTTGGAGCATTCTGTAAGAAAGCAATTGTATAATGTCCCATTGTGCAAGAGTTATGGGACCATTAACTACCAATAACTGCCCAATATGTTGATGTTTATCTGGTTCCATTTGTCCCTAGAACTATGTGGTCCCCTCCACCTTCATGTTGAAAAGTTTCCTCACCAACAAATAACCTGACACACATCTCAAGTTTGAAAGATATTCTTGTAAGTTTCATGGAGGCTTCTTGTGAAAGAGAAAGAAGATCTTTTCAAATTATAGCTCTGTAATCTCTCTCTTCACTCCAACTGGTTTCTCTGATAAGAGCTCAGTCCAAAATGCCACTTCTTTATCCTTTAGCTTCTTGGCTGTCTTCATGGCAATGTCAATTTGGAGATATTCTTCATTCTGATCATAGATGGGCCACTTTGGCAGGCCTTCACTGTTGGGGTTTCTGGAAAAATAGCACAACATTTTTAAAAATGTATTAATCATTTAAACATTGATGAGAGTCATGGTTTAAAAAAAAGAGAGAGGAAGTTAAGAACTCATGAGTCACAAAAAGCCAAATTCCCTAGGATTGGGTATTATTATGTTTCTACCTTCTCAATGTACTTCAAGTTCTCATATAATACAATAAAGCTATAATCATTAACCATTTGTACTAGTTAGAAAAGGAAAAGTAAATGAATGGAATAGACTATATAAGGAAGAATCATAACTGAGTATTGGATAAACCCAAGATCATAAATTAATAAATTACTTGGGGACAAATTCCATATTTGGTAGTAGAAAGAGTTTATCTGTGTAGAAATTTGTTCCTTTCTCTACTCCTAGCTTACTTAATTCAAGTAAAAGACACAATCACAGTTGATAAAATGTTAGTATGTTAGCAAGGTGCTAATACCTTGTAATCTATTTCAAAAAGGTAAATACCTGTCTCTAATTGAATTGGAAGAGGCACCCATTGGTTGAGCAAAAATTAGCATCATCTCTTAGGCACCTTAAAAGTCTGAGTTGCTAGCTCTATAGTCCCACAATAAGGAACCTAACCCTTAGAAGGAAATGAAGGTAGGGAGAGAAATTTCTCTCTCCTTCCCCACCTCTGACTAGGAGAATTACTTGCTTAGAATGGGAGACTTTAGTAATTGTAAAAATCACTTCAAGATATTTTGGAGGACTATTTGGGGGGCATGAGAAGCAAACTCTTTAGGCAGATACAGAAAAATATTCATTGCTGAAAGCAATATTGAATGGGAGGACCTCTGATAACAAACAAACAAGAGATAGCTGGCTATGGACTCAAAAGAGAGCTAGTTCTAGATATTTTGAGCCATTCCTCAGTGAGAGATGGAGACTCTGGAAGTCCAGGTAAGAAATACTTCTGTCTAGCCAATCTGGAAGAGCAAGAAAGAAATCACTCGACTGCTACCATGTTCACCCCAAAATGAATTCTGGAATGGCAGAAGCAGCAAAAAGATAGGAAGAAACAATCTGAGGTTGGCAAGAAAGGTCTGTCTCACTCAAGTAAAATGGGAACACAGCCCAGGACAGGAAGTATCCCAGCAAGCCAGTGAGAGGTACTGAGTCCCAGTGCAGTGCCATGTGACCTATGAACCTCAGGACAACACCAGTGAAGCAACAGGAAAACAGCCAGGTCCCAAAGCCCATAGCACAAGGAGCTTGGAACAATGTCCCTTCTGCCCCAGGTGCAGAGTTCTAATTTAAAAGTAAGGGGAAAGAGGAGCAGCTAGGTGGCACAGTGGATAGAGCACCAGCTCTGGAGTCAGGAGGACCTGAGTTCAAATCTGACCTCAGACACTTGACACTTAACCAGCTGTGTGACCCTGGGCAAGTCACTTAACCCCAGTTGTCTCACACAAAAAAAGAAAAGTAAGGGAAAAGGCTGGGAAAAAAAGAGCAAAAAACAAACAAACAAAATCTGACTATAGAAAGTTATTATTGGGACAGGGAAGATTAAGACACAAACTCAGAAGAGGACATTAGTGTCAAAATGCCTACAGGCAAAGCACCCAAGAAAAATATTGGCAAAAATATTAAAGGCATTCTTTTTGGCTGATAATGCAATAAAATCACATTAAATAAGAGTAGTGGAAAGATAAATTAAAAATTAATTGGAAAGTAAATAATTTATCCTAAAGAATAATTGTCAAAGAACAAATCCTAAAAATAATCAATAATTTTATTAAAGAGAATGACAACAATGAGACAACATGCCAAAATTTATGGAATGTGACCAAAGCAATACTTATAGGAAAATTTATTTCCCTAAATTCTATTTTTTTTTTTGGTGAGACAATCAGGGTTAATGATTTGCCCAAGAACACATAGCTAGTAAACATCAAGTGTCTGAGGCCAGATTTGAACTGAAATCCTCCTGACTCTAGGGCTGGTGCTCTATCCACTGTGTCACCTAGCTGCCCCTATTTCTCTAAATTCTAACATCAACAAAATAAAAATCAGACCAATGAATTGACTGTGCAACTAAAAATATAGAAAAAGAGCAAGTAAAAAATCCCCAATTCAGCAGTAAATTAGAATCATGAAAACCAAGGGTGAGATTTTTAAAATGAAAGTAAAAAAAAAAACTATCGAGCTAATAAATAAAACTAGGAACTGATTTTATGGGGAAAAAGATAGGTAAACCACTGGTTACTTTGATTAAAAAAATGAAAGAAGAAAAGCAAATTTCCAGTACCAAAAATGAAAAGTGTAAATTTACCACCAAGGAAGAGGAAATTGAAACAATCATTAGGAAATATTTTGCCCAATTGTATGCCAATAAATCTTATAATCTGAGCAAAATTGGTGAATATTGGCAAAAATATGAATTACCCAGATTAAAAAGAGATGAAATAGAATACCTAAATAACCCCATCTTAGATAAAAGAAAAATGAGCAAGCCATCAATAAAGCTTCCTAAGAAAAATCTCTGGGACCAGATGAGTTCACAAGTAACTTCTACAAAACATTTAAATAAATATTAATTCCAGTACTGTAAAAATTATTTGGAAAAATAGGCAGAGAGGGACTTCTACCAATTTCTTTTTATGACACAAATATGGTGCTGATACCTAAAAAAGGAAGAGCTGAAACAGAGAAAGAAAATTATAGACCAATTTCCCTAATGAAAAATGATGAAAAAAATTTATATAAAATATAAGCAAAAAGATTATAGCAATATATTACAATGATCATGCACTATGACTAGGTGGGATTTATACCAGGAATGCAAGGCTGGTTCAATATTAGGAAAACTATCAGTATAGTTGACCACATAAATAATACAACAAACAGAAATCATATGATTATCTCAATAGATGTTGAAAAAGCTTTTGACAAAATACAGCACCCATTCCTATTAAAAACACTACAGAGCATAGGAATGAAGGAACTTTTGCTCCCTTAAAATGATAAGTACTATCTATCTAAAACCATCAGCAAGCATTATCTGTAATGAGAATAAGTTAGAAGCCTTCCCAATAAGATCAAGAGTGAAGCAAGGAAGCCCACTATGACCACTATTACCTGATATTGTACTAGATGGGTTAGCTATAGCAATAAGAGAAGAAAAATAAATTGAAGGAATTAGAATAGGCAATGAGGAAAAAAGCTACTACTCTTTGTAGATAATATGATGTCATATGAAGAGAATCCTAAAGAATCAACTGAAATATTACTTGAAATAATTAATAACTTTATCAAAGTTGCAGGATATAAGATAAACCCACACAAAGTATCAGTATTTCTACATATTACCAACAAAGCAAGAAGCAAGAGATAGAAAGAGAAATTCCATTTAAAATAACTGTACACAATATAAAATATTTGGGAATCTGCCTGCCGTTACAAAGGAACTATGTGAACACAATAGCAGTATACTTTTCACAGAAATAAAGTCAGATCTTAAAAAAATTGGAAAAAACATTAAGTGCTCATGAATAGGCCAAGTTAATATAATAAAAATGACAATTCTACCTAAATTTATTTATTCAGTGCCTTACCAATCTAATGACAAAAAACCCCTATTTTATAGAGTTAGAAAAAATAACAACAAAATTCATCTAGAAGAACAAAAAGTCAAAACTATCAAGGAAATTGATGATGAAAAAATGCAAAGGAAAGTGGCCTAGCAGTATCAGATCTCAAATTGTATAATAAAGCAGTAATGATCAAAAGTATCTGGTACTGGTCAGGAAGTAGAGTGGTGGATCAGTGGAATAGGTTAGGTACATAAGACACAATAGTAAATGACCATAGTAGTCTAGTGTTTGATAAATCCAAAGATCCCAGCCTCTGGGATAAGAAAGCATTATTTGACAAAAACTGCTGGGAAAACTGTAAAAACTAGTTATAGACCAACATCTTACATCACCTACCATGATAAAGTCAAGATGGATACATGATTTAGACATAAAGGGTGATACAGTAAACAAACTAGAATAGCAAGATCTATGGAGAAGGGAAGAATACACTACTAAATAAGAGACAGAGAGCATCACAAAATGTAAAATAGATATTTTGATTATATTAAATTAAAAAGGTTTTACACAAATAAAACCAATGTAATCAAGATTAGAAGTAAAGCAGAAAGCTGGGAAACAATCTTTACAGCAAGCGTATCTGATAAAGGCCTCATTTCTCAAATATTTAGAGAAATAAGTCAACTTTATAGGAACAAGCCATTCCCCAATTCATAAATGGTCAAAGAATATAAACAGGAAGTTTTCAGATGAAGTAATCTAAGCTATCTATAGTTATATGAAGAAATGCTTTAAATCACTTTTGATTAGATAAATGCAAATTAAAACAACTCTGAGGTATCACCTCATACCTTTCAGTTTGGTTAATATTACAGAAAAGAAAAAAAGATGCTAAATGTTGGATAGGATGTGGGAAAATTAGGACACTAATGAACAATTGTTGGAGTTGTGAACTGATCTAACCATTCTGGAGAACAATTTGGAACTATGACTAAAGGGCAATCAAACTGTGCATACCCTTTGATCCAGCAATACCACCACTAGGTTTGTATCCCAAAGAGATCATAAAAAAGGAAAAAGGGCCTACATGCACAAAAATATTTATAGCAGCTCATTTTGTGGTGGTGAAAAAAATTAGAGCTTGAAGGGATGCCAATCAACTGGGAAATGGCTAAAGACAAGTTATGGTATACAAATGTAGTGGAATACTATTATTCAAAAAGAAATTATGAGCAGGTGGCTTTCAGAAAACCTGGAAAGACTTATATGAACTGATGCAAAGTGAAATGAGCAGAACCAGGAGAACATTGCACACAGTAATAGCCACATTGTTTGATGATCAACTATGACTGTCTTAGCACTTCATAGCAATACAATGACCCAAGACAATTATAAAGGACTCATAATGGAAAATGCTATCTATACCCAGAGAAAGAACTGATGAACTCTGAATGAATATTGAAGCATATTATTTTCATTTCTTTTTTTATGGCTTTTTCCTTTTGATTTGTTTCTTCTTTCATAACTAATATGGAAATGTTTTATATAATTGCACATATATTATCTATATCAAATTGCTTACCGTATTAGGAGGAGAGGGGGGAGGAAGGAATGTAAAATATTTTGGAACTCAAAATTTTGTTAAAATGAATATTAAAAATTATCTTTACATGTAATTAAAATAAAATATTATTAAAATAAATAAAAATTCAAAAAATAATAAATGATGCTGTCTTGGGTAGGGTGGGATGAGGTAATAAAGGATGAGGTTGGTGAAAATTTGACAGGAGACAAAGGACTTTGTGACCCCAGTGTCCTGGGGTAGTGAATAGCCTTAGCCCCATGTGATCTTCACATGGGTACCCCACTACCATTGCACTCTATTTTTTTTATTTACTCTTCCTACATAGGTTCTGAGTATTTATCAGGAATTATGCCCCAACTTCAGAACAGGTAATGTTTTGTAGCTACTTTCTTTACATGTGGTATACTGGCTAATTATTATTGAGAAGCACATGGGGAGGAGGGGAAGGTTGTGAAATATGTAGTTTTAGAATGTATAGCCTTGCAGGGTAGAGCCTAGAACCTATGAGTAGCAGCTCTCCTGTTGGTCCCAATCTGTGAGCAGAAGTTTGAAAGAGGCCCATAAGGGTTGTTTCAATTACAACAATAAGACATTATTATTAAACTGGAAAGCAGCTTGGTAGAAATTATTTCTAGAGCAATAACTTTGATACTGAATACTTCAGCAAGCTCAAAGGGGATATGTAAACCAAATATTAAATATGCTATTAAAATTAGTGAACCAGAAAAGTTACCATTCATAATTATGGCTAAGGGTGAATCTTTGACCAAAAGATAAAAGTAAGCACAAAAGATAAAACAGATTATATCAATTACATGACATTGAAAAGTTTTTGAATGAACAAAATCAATGCAAGTAAGATTACAAAGCAAATGATATATTAAGGGAGGAGAACCTTATATAAACTATCTTTGGTAAGGGCCTGATAGTCAAACTGTATTGAAAAATAATGAAATATATAAAGCTTGGCTCTTCTCCAGTAGATGTCATCACAGAATGTAAGCAAATGGTTCTCAAAAGAAACTATGAACTATTGAAAAGAGTACTGCAAGTTATTCATAAGTGAGAAACAAATGTTAAAAACAAAACAAAAACCTTGAGGTTTTATCTCACACCCAGCAAATGTGCAACAGTGACAAAGAATAAGACAGTCAATATTAATAGGGTTAGGAAAAGAAAGGTAAACTAATAATGCAACATTTATGGAACTATGAATTGGTCTAACCATGGGAAGTAATTTGTAATTAGGAAAGCAGAGTAAAATGTACATATTCTTTGACCCAGAGAGTTCATCGCTAAATATATATTTCGAGGAAGTCAATGATAAATTATGAAAAGGGCTCTTATATACCAAAATATTTACAGTGAACTTTTTGCAGTAGCAAAGAAATAGAAACAAAGTAGATGTCCATCAATTGGGGACTGGCTATACACACACACACACACACACACACACACACACACACACACCTATATATATATATATACATATATATATATACACATATACATATGTACATCATATACACATATATAGTAATACATGAATTTAATAGACTGTCATTACATTAAAAGAGATAAGGAATATGAATACATAGAAGTATGGGGAGACTTACATGAATTGATATGAACTAAGCAGAACCAGGAAAACTATATACACAATGACTACAAGAAGAACACCTCAATAAATGATACAATGCTGTGACATTGTAATGACCAAGTTTGACCCCAAAGAAGAAACGTGAAAATTTAGTTTCTTCCCTTCTTTGTAAAGGTTGGGGATAGTGTGTGTAGAAGTGTACATATCGTGTCAGACTTAACTGATGTGTATGTTAGTTCTAGTTAACTTTCTCCCACACACACACACAAATATAAAAAAAATGCACACTTTATAAAAATCCTTTGGTAAAATAGAAGATTCTTTAGGAGAGTGAGGAAAGAAGGATCTATAATGGAAAATATAGGTTACAGGGGGGAAGATATTGGTAATATTTTTTTGGCGGAAATGTTTCCCTCTTCTCTATTATTAATCTTACCCATTCTGAGCAAAGTTGGCCCAATATTTCATCATTGTCCTGCTCAGTTGCTTTTCCTCTTCTGGATAACCCTCTGAAAACAGAAGCAGAAGACAGAATGCAAGTAGATGTTAAAGATCAAAACCACAGTTATCCTTCAGGATCCCACACCCTTTTTTTTTTAGTGAGGCAATTGGGGTTAAGTGACTTGCCCAGGGTCACACAGCTAGTAAGTGTCAAGTGTTTGGTCTGAGGCCAGATTTGAACTCAGGTATTCCTGACTTCAGGGTTGGTGCTCTATCCACTGCGCCACCTAGATGCCCCGCCACACTCTTTTTGACTTCACACTTTGCTCTCTTCTTTCTAAACTTCCAGTTTTCTACTTTGTGCAGTGTCCCATTCTCGATGTGACCTCCTTATGCAATGCCCTGATTTTATCCATGAAATTTAAAAAGCATTTTTTTCTTACTCTTTCTAAAAGGTAACTTTTGGAAAGAATAAAATAGCCACTGATAAGATTCTCATTTATTCTACCTCCAAAGGGAATTTATCTATTACCAAAAGACAATAACTTAAAGGAATTTCTTTCTCAGTGATAAAATTTCAAATACTAACAAGTTTTTAGGAAGGATGATGACAATAGCTTATAGTTTAGCACTATTTATCATCTTAAGTTTTTGTAGCTTGCGATAGGACCCATCTAATTGAACCACCTTATTTTAGAGCTTAAGAAACTGAGGGCCACAGTTAAGTGATCTGCACAAGATCATACAAGTATAAATAGCAGAGCTGGGATTTGACCACAGATTCTAGGACCCCAAATCCATTGTTTTCACTATGCCAATCTCTAATTTTGCATCCAAAACCTGGATACCCACAGTATTACCATTCTACTTGAAGGTCATTGCTGCTACTAGCAATGAAAAGCAAAGGAAAAGGAAAAATGCTCTCAGGTATTCTTTCTGAATCTTCTGGAAGCTCCATGAAACCAGCTAGAGCCTACAATGCTTGAACAAAGAAATGAAAAAAAAAATGGAGAGGCCTCAGTTCCATGATAAAAGGAGGTGAAATCATGGGATTGTAGCATAAACCTTCAGAATACTAATGGATTCTGTGACTCTGATGCACAGAGACTCTTCTGAAGTATGGCATCTTTTGCTCTCCTAACCTCATTCCCAGTATTTTTAGAGCAGGGTAGTCATCAAAGGAAATCAAGGCCCTGTACCGGAGTTTTCTGGAGCACTTGTGGTATTTTGCCTACAGAAATACACTGATTCTGCCATATTCTGCAATACATTCTAAATAAATAATCTTAATATTAAAAAATATCATACAATAAAAATTAGAAGAGAAGCAAATCATATGCCTCTCATAGCAATTAACATAAGATATGTCCTTAACCAAATAAGAGATAGAAGCAATTACAAAAGATAAAATTGGTAATTTTGATTACATGAAACTGAAAAGGTTAGACTCAGGAAGAATTAATGTACCCAGAATAAGAAAAGAAGTAGTTGAATGGAAATAAATATTTGTATTCAATTTCACTGATAAGGGCTTGGTACTAAAAATATATAAATAACTAACATATATGTATGTATGTATGTATGTATGTATGTAAGACTACTAGCAATTCTCTAATAGATAAGTGGTCAAAGGATAAAAATAAACATTTATCAAAAGAAGAATTGCCAAGTTTTGACAACTACGGGAAAAAATGCTCCAAATCACTAATATTAAGAGATATATAAATCAAAGCAAGCCTGAGGCTTCATCTCTTATCTTGCAAATTGGCAATAGTCAATGCTGAAGGATGATAGGCATACTGTAAGTTGTTGGTGGAACCGTGAATTGCTAAAAACAAAACAAAACATTTTGGAAAGCAATTTGTCATTTTGCAAATAAAATTACCAAAGTGTCCATACCATTTGACCTGGAGATTCCATTACTGGATGTGTACCCCAAGGAAGCCATCGACAAGAACAAAGTCCACATATATAGCACAACATTCATAGCAATACCTTTGAGTTGGAAATGTCCATTGATTAAGGAATGGTTAAAAAATTGTGGTACATGAATGTAATGGAATACGAACACTGTAAGAAATGATGAATGTCAGGATGATCTGAATTCAAATCCAGTCTCAGACACTTGACACTTACTAGCTGTGTGACCCTGGACAAGTCACTTAACCCTGATTGCTCCACCAAAAAAGCAAAAAAAAAAAAAAAAAGAAAGAAATGATGAATGTTATAGATATGTAGAAACATGAAAAGATCTACATGACCTGATGCAGAGTAAAGCTAACAGAGCCAAAAAAAACACACAAAAAATGTACACATTAACTACAACAATGTAAGTGCAAAAAATAATCACCCAAAATAATCAAGTGAATGTAGCAAAATTAAAAAGGTCAAGCAAAACTCAAAAGAAGAGCTGTGAAAAGATATGCCTAATCCATGCCTTTGTGGAGATGAGAGGCCCACAGGTTCTGCACATTATGCATGTCTTTGAACTTTTTCAATGTATTGTGGTGATTTTTCCTTTGTTTCTTTTTTGTTTTTAAAAATAACATTTGTTATATAGGACAGCTTTCTGGGAGGAGAAAGGGAAGGAATGCTAGGGAAAACTATGATGATGTAAAAAATGCATGAATAAAAACATGTTAAAAATGCCCTCAGAATCCAAGACTCTTTGAACTGGAAGGGGCCTCAGATAGCATCTGGCCAAATCCACCCTGAACAGCAATAACTTCTACAACTTCCCTAATAAGTGGTCATACAGCTTTCATTTGAATAGTCAAGTGGTGGGGAACTCATTACCTTAATAGAAAGAACAAGGATGCTTTGGAACAGCCAAAATATTACCTTACATCAAGTCAAAGTCCACCTCTATGTAACTTTCATCCATCACTCTGGGTTTCACCCAACAAGACCAAATCTAATCCCAAAAGATAATATTTCATATACTTAAAGATAGCAAGCTATCATGACCTTGCAGTCTTCTCTTTATGATATATATCCCCAGCTTCTTTGACTATTCTCATTCAACATGGTCTCAAAGTTCCTCCCTCGCCAAGACTGTGGATTAAGAAGTAAGTCACTATCGCACTCCCTTATTGAACTCTGAAAGCTCAGAAAATATAAACCTAGGAAAAACCCTGAGCCAGCAAAAAGACAAGGCACTGCAGTGTTATAGCCCAGGAAGCTTGGGGAATTAACAGGAAAGGCTCCTCTCGCTCTGGGGGAGGGGAAGCAGTACAGGATGGGAGGCATCTCAGCAAGCCAGCAGGAAGCAGCACCTCAGCATACCAGGGGGAGATGCTGAGACCCAGATTGGTGGAGCAGGCAAGTAACAACACTAGGACTCCCCCCCAAGAGCCTCATTATGGGCAGGGGAACTGGTAGACACCAACTCAGAAAACCACTATGGGCAATGATATTCTCCAGCAGCCAAATCATGCTGTGCCTCAACACAACTGTAGGAAGCACAACTCCAGGAGGCAAAACTCGAGGCTGACAGACATCTACTAGCAATGAAACATCCCTGTGCAAGGTCTGGGTGAGCAGGAGCCAAATATTCAGGTGCAAGGCCTGGGTAAGCAGGAAAAGAAGCTTGGGTCAGTGCCCCATTCACTCCAGCAGGAGAGCTCATTTTTTGGGGGGGGTCAGGAAATAGGCAAACACCATGCACAAAAAGCAAAAATGGACAATGACCATAGATTCTTTTTATGGGGAAAGGGAAGATCAAGGCACAAATTCAGAAGAGGATAACATTGTTAATATACCCACACCTGAAACCTCAAAGGGGAATAAAACTGGTCTGAAGGCCAAAAAGCCTTCTTGGAAGAGCTCAGGAAGCATTTTAAAAGTCAAATAAGAGAGGTAGAAGAAAAATTAGGAAAACAGAGAGGTATGCAAGAGAGAGTTAATAGCTTGGGGAAAAAAGGACAAAAATTAACTGTAGAAAACAAGTCCTTAAAAACTAGAATTGCTCTGCTTCTGGGAACCAAGATGCCAGAGTAAGAAGTAAGTCGCTCTTATTGTCCCTTATTAACCTCTGAAAGTCTAGAAAATATCACCCCAGGAAAAATCCTGGAACATCTGAACCAGAAGAAATATGGGGTTCAGCAGTCCAGTAACCCAGGTAGTTTGAGGGATTAATGGGAAAGGCCCCTCTTGCCCTGGGGGAAGGGGAGCAATACAGGATGGGAAACATACCAGCAAGCTAGCAGAAAGCCCAACCTCTGCATACCAGGGGGAGATCCTGAACCCCAGGTGGTGGAGAAGGCAAACACCAACACCAGGACCCCCGAATGCCTCAGAACAGGCAGGGAAACCAGTGGACACTGCCTCAGAAAATCACCATGTGCCTTGGTGTTCTACAGCAGTCAAGTTTTCCAGTGACTCAGCAAACCTCTAGGAAGTGCTGCAAGGCAAAAAGTCCCAGGCAGAGAAACATCTGATTAGATTAATGTAGATTAATGAAATATCCATCTGAAAAGAGCCAAAGAAAGCAAAAAGAGGGAAAAGAAAGGCTGGGGCGAGCAGGCAACCTTCAGGGACCAGACTACCCAATCCTACCCCTACAGTTCTAGTGTTGCTGATTCCAGCCCAACACCAGGTAAACTGCCAGAACCCTACAGCCTCCAACTGCCAGCAGTTGAGGCCCCAGCACACAAAGACCTGGCCCCATGTTCCCAGCACAAGAAGCTTGGGTCAGTGTCCCCTGCTTCCCAGCAGGAGAGCTCAATTTTTTAAAGTCCAGGAACTAAACAAACACCATGAGCAAAAAGAAACATACCATAGATTCATATTATAAGAACAGGGAAGATCAAGGCAGAAATTCTGAAGAGGATAACATTGTCAACAAACCCACATCTAGAATCTCAAAAGGGAATATAAACTGGTCTAAAGCCCAAAACGCCTTCTTGGAAGAGCTCAAGAAGTATTTTAAAAGTCAAATAAGAGAGGTAGAAGAAAAATTGGGAAAAGAAATGAGAAGTATGCAAGAGAGAGTCAATAGCTTGGAAAAGGAAGAACAAAAATTAACTGTAGAAAAAGTAGAATTGGCCAAATGGAAAAGGAGGCACAAAAACTCACTGAAGAGAAGAACTCCATAAAAAGTAAAATGGGCCAAATGGAAAAGGAGGTACAAAATCTAATAGAAGAAAACAGCTCATCAAAGTTCCTCCCCAATCTAGGTACTTTTACTTCAATTATTATCACAGGATACTCCAAATACAGTCTGATCAGGACTGAGTATAGTAGGGCTATCATCTCCCTTATCCTTAATACTAGGTTGATGTTAATGCAGCCTAGCATCACTTCCTAAGGGAAATAAGGGGCCTTTAATTAGTTTTGACATCTTGTTGGTATGTTCCTGGGATTGGAAGTCAAATGATGTTTATTCTAGTTCTATCTCGATCACTAACCTTAACCAAATCACTTTGCTTATCTGGAACTATTTATTCATCTGTAAATTGGATATAATAAAATAGCATCCTTTCTACATCACAGGGGGATGGAATTATCAAAAGAGATAATGCAGAGGAAGAGTATCTGGTAAATTAAGAGACTAGGCAAGGGCTAATAATTAATTTCCAGAAATGGATGGTGGGCAATATTGTTTATGAAGATTTTAAAGGAAACAAAATTCCATTACCATTTAAGAGTGGAATCCCAAAGACAAGGAAGAATTCATCCCCATGGTCTGCTTTTATTGTCACTGGTTTCAGGTCTCCCCAAAAGTTTGGTCGATGCTGAAATTGGTACATGTAGGTTGGTGCATCTGAAGCTGAAAGAAAAGAAAATGGTGGAAATTTAGAACATCAATTGTCTTACCATTGATGGGATCATTTAAAAATAAAATAAAAGAATAATAAAAGCTTGTGCTCTGCAACATTAAAGCCTTTTAAGTAATGGTAGACCACGGATCTTGTACTCATAATATATATAGAGGTGGGGGGGGTGGAGCCAAGATGGTGGAGGGAAAGCAGTGACTTTCTAGAGCTCTCCCCCAAACCCCTCCAAATACCTACAAAAAATGGCTCTAAACAAATTCTAAAGCAGCAGAACCCACAACAAAACAGAGTAAAACAAATTCCCAGCCCAAGACAACCTGGATGGCTGATCTGAAAGGTATATCACACCGGGTGGGGAGACGAGAGCAGTTCGGCATGGGCGCGCAGGCCGCAGCAACCCTGGAGCAGTCCTCAGAGGACTGAATCGTGGCAGCTGTGGCAGTTTCCAGACTTCTCAACCCACTAACACCAAAGACAACTTAGAAGGTCAGTGGGAAAATTCTGTGACTGCGGTGAGAGAAGAAGCTAGATCTCAGCCACCCCAAGGGCAGCAGCTGCTTCCAAGCTTCCAGCCCACAGACTGAGGGGGAATCCAGTGGCTGATCAGAAAGGGATTGCAAGGATCTCTTTGCCAGGGCTGAGGCAGGAATCTCTTGCTTTGCCCATGCTTGGATATGGGTCACAGTTCTGTGGGGCAGTCCTGGGGCAAGGAGGAGCACTGGCATGGTGGAGCTTGTTGTGGTGGTGAAAAGGAAACACCTCGCCCCTTATCATAGCACCTTGGAAGAACTGACATTTTTCAGGTCCCTAGAAGTATCTCTGAAAACAGCTGTACAAATCCCCAAAACTTGGGACAGTACATTCTCCACATTGGAAACAGACTCTTACCTTAACAAAGAGTTTAAAACTCAAGTAATTGGTTGGGATCATGAGTAAGCAGTGCAAAAAGAGTCAGACTATATTATCTTACTTTGGTGACAAAGAAGATCAAAACATACAACCAGAAGAAGAAAACAAAGTCAAAGGTCCTACATCCAAAGCCTCCAAGAAAAATATGAATCAGTCCCAGGCCTTGGAAGAGCTCAAAAGGGATTTTGAGAAGCAAGTAAGAGAAGTAGAGGAAAAACTGGGAAGAGAAATAAGAGTGATGCAAGAAAATCATGAAAAGCAAGTTAACAGCTTGCTGAAGGAGACCCAAAAAAATACTGAAGAAAATAACACCTTAAAAGATAGCCTAACCCAAATGGCAAAAGAGGTCCAAAAAGCCAATGAAGAAAAGAATGCCCTAAAGAGCAAAATTGGCCAAATGGAAAAGGAAGTCCAGAAGATTACTGAAGAAAATACTTCCGTAAAAATTAGAATAGAGCAATTGGAAGCTAGTGACTTTATGAGAAATCAAGGCACTGTAAAACAAATCCAAAAGAATGAAAGATTACAAAACAATGTGAAATATCTCATTGGAAAAACAACTGACCTGGAAAATAGATCCAGGAGAGAGAATTTAAAAATTATTGGACTATCTGAAAGCCATGATCAAAAAAAGAGCCTACACATCATCTTTCAAGAAATTATCAAGGAAAACTGCCCTGATATTTTAGAACCAGAGGGCAAAATAGAAATGGAAAGAATCCACCAATCTCCTCCTGAAAGAGATCCCCAAAGGAAAACTCCTAGGAATATTGTAGCCAAATTCCAGAGTTCCCAGGTCAAGGAGAAAATATTCCAAGCAGCCAGAAAGAAACAAGTCAAGTATTGTGGAAACACAGTCAGGATAACACAAGATTTAGCAGCTTCTACATTAAGGGACTGCAGGGCATGGAATATAATATTCCAGAGGGCAGAGGAGTTAGGATTACAACCAAGAACCATGTACCCAGCAAAACTGAGTATAATCCTTCAGGGGGAAAATGGTCATTCAGTGAAATAGAGGACTTTCAAGCATTCTTGATGAAAAGACCAGAGCTGAATAGAAAATTTGACTTTCCAATACAAGACTCAAGTGGAACATGAAGAGGTAAACAGGAAAGAGAAATCATAACAGATTTATTAAGGTTGAACTGTTTAAATTCCTGCATGGAAAGATGATATTTGTAACTCATGAGACCTTTGTCGGCATTAGGGTAGTTGGAGGGGAAAAAATTATGTGTATGTATATAGATGGATAGATAGATAGATAGATAGATAGATAGATAGATAGATAGATAGAT